AGTTTAAATATTACTAAGTTCTTTTTTTATGAAAGGTGAAGACTATGCCCATTTCCTTCTTCCCAGTTCTTGGAACTGGGTTAATTGTATTATCCCTTTTTTTAAAATTATTTTTCAATTACAGTTGATATACAATATGACAGTTTCAGATATACAACACAATGATGATGAAGTGATCACTCCAATATACCCATCTGACACAATACAGCATTACAGTATTATTGACTATACTTCCTATGCTTTTCCTTACATCCTTGTGACTATTTTTATAATTAGCTACTTGTACTTTTTAGTTCCTTATTTAAAAAAAGTTCAGTTCTCTAATAGAAGTCACAAAAACGCTATTTCAAAATGTTTGTAGCACCCCCTGCTGGCTACATGTGTCTCTTCCTAAATAAAGATAGCATATTCAGATATTGCTCAATAATACTTTAGATATACACACCATTTCTCCTTAGAGTTATTTTTATTTAGAAATAATTATATTTTCATTTAATGTATAAAGTTGTGTTGAAATTTTAATTGAAAGCAATTTGCTTTGTAATTTGTCGGTTGATATTTGAACAGTGCTTATCCTTAAAGGCAATGTAATGGTGTATCTGCTGGAGACAAAGTATTTGTCGTAGCCTTTTTAATAATATTTCAGATGAAATTCAGTGAGGGAGAGGCATCTCCCCAAGTATACCTATTTTACTATAAATAATGCCACCATGAGCATCTTTGTACATAAACCTGTATGCATGTTTATTGTATGCTAACTACAAACCCTGCAATATTTATAAAGTTTTAAGAGTAACACTTTGGATCTTGAAAGACATCTGAGGAGGGGTTGGGAGTGGTAAGGACCAAGGAGTTATAAAACTACAAGGACGTTGTCATTGTTTGGCTCACTGATGTGATTCAAGCCATGATTTGGAGTGAATTAGTGACACCACTTAGGGGCTCTTCATTTATGAAAAAAGTAATTATTTAAAAAGAGCATAATATTTTAGTTAGTGACAGCCACTGAATTTCAGTTGATTAAGAATAAAATTCATCTTGGCTGGTATAGCTCAGTGGATTGAGCATGAGCTGTGAACCAAAGGGTCGCTGGTTCAATTCCCAGTCAGGGTACATGCCTGAGTTGTGGGCTGGGTCCCTAGTGGGAGCCACATGAGAGGCAGCCACATGTTGATGTTTCTCTCCCTCTCTTCCTCCCTCCTTTCCCCTCTCTCTAAAAAAGTAAATAAATAAAATCTTATAAAAAACAATAAAATTCATAACTTCTGGCCAAGATGAAGGCGTAGGTAGATATGCTCTGCTTCCTTGCACAACCAAAAGAAGGACAACAGCAAATTTAAAAAACAAAAAACAACCATAACTGCCAGAAAGTTGAACTGTATGGAAGTCCAACAACCAAGGAGTTAGAGAAGAAACATTCATCCAGCCTGGTAGAAAGGGCAGAGATGGGCAGCTGGGGTGGAGAGGACATGCAGCAAGATGGTGGACCAGGTGGGTCAGGTGGCAGCTGCTGGACAGTGTGGTCCACAGTGGTATGTGGATAAGCTGGGAGGAACAACTGGGGAACAGGACAGCCCGTGACCCTGAGTTGCAGTGTGGGAAACTGAAGCCTCAAAATCTCTGGCTATAAAAATCTTTATGGGTTGCAGTGGTCAGAGAAACTCCCAGCCTCACAGGAGAGTTCGTTGGAGAGACCCACAGTGTACTAGAACATACACAAAACCACCCATCCAGGAATTAGCACCAGAAGGGCCTAATTTGCTAGTGGGTAGTGGGAAAAGTGACTGAAAGCTGGCCGACAGCTGAGCAAGCAACATTGTTCCCTCTCTGATACCTCCTCCATATACAGCACCACAACATAGCAAAGTAGGTTGCCCTACCCTGGCAAATACCTAAAGTTTCCCCCCTTACAGAGTAACAGGTGCTCAGACAAAGAAATATGGTCAAAATGAAAGAACAGATCAAAATTCCAGAAAAAAAGCTAAGCTACAAGGAGGTAGCCAACCTATCAGACGCAGAGTTCAAAACACTAGTAATCAAAATGGTCACAGAAATTATTGAGTACGGACACAAAGTAGAGGAAGAAAAGAAGGCTATGCAAAGTGAAATAAGGAAAAGTATACAGTGAATCTACAGTGAAGGGAAGGAACCTGGGACTCAAATCAATGGTTTGGAACAGAAGGAAGAAATAAACAGTCAACCAGAACAGAATGCAGAAAGGAGACTTCAACAAAATGAGCCCTGGCTGGTGTAGCTCAGTGGATTGAGTGTGAGCCTGTGAACCAGAGGATTGTGGTTTGATTCCCAGTCAGGGCACATGCCTGGGTTGTGGGTCAGGTCCCTAGTTGGGGGTGTGTGGGAGGCAACCACACATTGATGTTTCTCTCCCTCTCTTTCTCCTTCCCTTTCCCTCTCTCTAAAAATAAATAAAATCTTTAAAAAAAAAAGAATTCAACAAAATGAGGAGAGGCTTAGGAACCTCCAGGACATCTTTAAATGTTCCAACATCTGAGTCATAGGCATGCCAGAAGGAGAAGAGGAAGAACAGAAAATTGAAAACTTAGTTGAAAAAATAATCAAGGAGAATTTTCCTAGTATGGCAAAGGAAATAGATTTCCAAGAAGTCCAGGAAGCTCAGAGAGACCCAAAGAAGTTGGACCCAAGGAGGAACACACCAAGGCACATCATAATTATATTAGCCAAGATTAACAATAAGGAGAGAATTTTAAAAGCAAGAGAAAAGGAGACAGTTACCTACAAAGGAGTTTTATAAGACTGTCAGCTGACTTCTCAAAAGAAACCTTGCAGGCAAGAAGGGACTTGCAAGGAGTATTCAAAGTCATGAACGGCAATGACCTACATCCAAGATTCCTCTATCCAGCAAAGCTATCATTCAGAATGGAAGGGTAGAGAAAGTGGTTCCCAGAGAAGGTCATGTTAAAGGAGTTCATCGTCACCAAGCCCTTTTATATTAAGTGTTAAAGGGACTTATCTAAGAAAAATAATATCCAAACTATAAACAGTAAAATGACAATAAAGTCACAACTATCAACAAATGAACCTAAAAAACAAAAACAAAAACTAAGCAAACAACTAGAACAGGAACAGATTCACAGAAATAGAGATCACATGGAGGGTTATCAGTGGGGAGCGGAAGAGACAAGGGCAGGGTAGGGGAAAAGTTACAGGGATTAAGAAGCATAAACGGTAGGTATAAAATGGGGTTAAGAATAGTATAGGAAAGAATAGTATAGGAAATGGAGAAGCCATTTTTTTATACAAAGAACTTGCATGTACGATCCATGGACATAAACTAAGGGGAAGAAAGCTGAAGGGAGGTGGGGTGCAGGGTGGAAGGGGAGGAAGAGGAGAAATAAAGTGGGACAACTGTAATAGCACAAGCAATGAAATACACTTAAAAAAGGAATAAAATTTAAAGATGCTGAACCAAACAAAGATCATTTCCTAAATGACAAGCTAAGTGAAAATTTAGGGCTGTAGTTTATAAAGATTGAGCAAATTTTAAGTGAGGTTTTTACCTAATTTAAAGATAAATTTATGTCTTTTAAATAAAAATGTGTCTTCCTGTTATGTGTACACCCTGTATTTTAACAACAATTTACTGTGATTATGCTGTATTTCAATATTACTTTTTGGTCTTTATTTTCACACTATATTGTAATAATAGTTTACTTGTTTGTGTCTCCCACTGGTTGCTCAGTGCTCATTGGATGGATGGTTGGATGGATGGATGGATGGATGGATGAAAGAATGGATATTGAGCCCTGTCTGGTGTAGCTCAGTAGATTGAGTGCGGACCTGCAAACCACATGATCATGGTTCAATTCCCAGTCAGGGCATGTGCCTGGGTTGCAGGCCAGTTCCTAGCAGGGGACTCACAAGAGGCAACCATACATTGATATCTTGCTCCTTCTCTTTTTTCCTTCCCCTCTAAATATAAATAAATAAAATCTTAAAAAAAGAATGGATATTGAATATAATACACTGAGGGTAGAAACTTAATGTCTCATCCATGGTCTTTAATGCTCCTTTGATTTTTACAATAATTACTCATTTTTATGTGTATATGTCTTAAGAGGTGTTTTTTGGCTAACTACACACACACAGATGTTTTAAGTACTGTTACCTAATTGTATTTTCTAAAAAAATATTGTTCATCCAGAGAAATGTAGTATTCTGAGTCAGTAGAAAATTTTAATCATGGGCTGTTTTAATATAATTGCAGCTTTTTGGTCATACATATACTATTACATAGTCCTAAAGGTAATGACTGATTTTTCTAAGTTAAGGTTCTGTGGTTCTAAATTTTTGTGATCCTTGTATAGCAAAGATATATAATCTGTTAGTACATGCTAACATTATGATATTAGTATGATTATTAATAATGTATCTGTATAAGTGAGCAATGTTGACTGCTTTAAAACCATTTAATTTCATAGCATTTCCCCAAACAATAATGTTAACTGTATTAATTTTCCTATCACTCCTTTATGGTATTCTAAAAAGCACTTAGGTGGATTATCACAAAATCTAACATAGACCCTAATTAAAAATCTAAGGCTCTTTTAATATATACTGTAGAGTTTTAAGTTTAGCTTGTGATATGTAAAGTTGTTGTAAGGTAAATTTTACAGTAATTGAAAGTAGTTTTACTTCTACTTAAAATTTTAGAAGTAAACTTATAGAGTCTGTATACACTTTTTAAAATGACTTTAGAGGTAATGACCTAGCTGATTTTGGCACATACCTTGATTTAGTAAATGAGGAAACTTGGGCCCAGAGAGATTAGGTGAAACTTTCCGAACTCCTTGTGTCTGAGCTACATTTCCTGATTTTTTCCACGTTGCTTTTCATGTAGAGGATAGAGAATAAAATTATCTTATCAAGTGGCCAGGAAGGGTGTTTTGCTGAATTAATTAGCTTGTAGCTGTAGTGTCTCTGAGCTATGTGTAACATTTTCATATTTCTCTTTGTTACAGAATGCAAAGTATGGCGAAATCCACTAAATTTATTTCGGGGTGCTGAATATAATCGGTAAGCATTTTGACAGCTTGGGAAACAAATGAGTAGTTCAGAGAGCAAAGACAACAGAAAATGTTTTTGCTGGTTCATTTAGGGGTCATTGTAAGAGTTTATTTAGTGCTTCCATTTTTCGATATATCCTCAAATGTTTTGACTTTTCTGTTCTATAAATGTCTTAACATTGAAATTGGGATAATGTAAAAATATGTAGTTTTTGGAAATTTTCTGTTATTGTTATTCTTTTCATTATATATTATACAGTCAAAATATTTTGAAGCTTACCTGGAACATGGTTATAAAGCTGCCACAGAAGTGATGTTGAAATTTAATTTTGCAGAGTAATTAGGCAACTGAGAATTATAATAGCTTTTGGGCAATGTCTGTTGATAATACTATATAGGGAAGGTTTTCATTAGCTAATGCTAGTGAAACTTTGACACAAATATGGGAAAAATGTTTACTTCTTTCCCACTGATGTATTTCCTAAAGGAAGAATAAGATGATTAAAAAATATTTTTATTCATTTGCAAATCTGTTTTAGTCCTTGATTAATGCTTTATAGTTTAACTTCATGCAGCTTAAGATTGTATAGGTCTCGCTTTCCTCTCTCACAGGTGTCTGACCATTTTATTCCCCCTTCACAGGTATACTTGGGTGACAGGACGAGAACCTCTGACTTACTATGACATGAATCTCTCTGCCCAGGACCACCAGACATTCTTTACTTGTGACTCGGACCATCTGCGTCCTGCAGATGCGAGTATGGAAAATCCTTTAGTTAGTTTCTGGGTGGGAGGGCTTTTTGATCTGTTTTAAACAGTAAGGCTATTACTTTTAGAATATCTGCTTTATAAAAAACTCCAACAAGTAGAAATTAAATTGGACACTGACTAGTGGAACCCAGAATTCTGATACCTAAATAAAGGCTTTATCACAATGAAGTAGTGATGTAGAAATTAGTCCCCTCATTATAATTTAAAATATTATTTTTAAAAAGTACCAAGCTTTGCCCTGACAAGTGTTGCTCAGTGGTTTGGGTGTTGTCTTGGAAAACCAAAAGGTTGCCAGTCTAATACCCAGTCAGGGTACATGATTGGGTTGCCAGTCAGGTCCCCAGTTGGGGGCACATGAGAGGCAACCACACATTGATTTTTCTCTTCTTCTCTTTCTCCCTCCCTTCCCTTCTCTCTAAAAATAAATAAATAAAATCTTTAATAAAATAAAATAAAATGTTCTAATATCCAGAGCCTGTAGCAAGTGTTTGGGGGAGTGACTAATAAAATTATATTGTGTCTAAGTAGAAAGAAGAGATTAATAGCAATGTCATCTCAAAATGTGTTAAAATAATATATATTATTTAACAACAAATAACACCAATGAACAAAAGAAATATTAAATTTCTGTTAGAGTGCCTTTGCTTGACTAAGAAATCTTAAGATTATCTCTAAGATGATAGACTGTGAATTAGTCTATAAGATTTAGATCTGTTGTTTTGTGAGTACAAGAAAGATTGGATGTCAGCAATTGAAGGACAGTTGGGTAGCAAGTTTAAAATGTATTTGCGTGACTTTGCAGGTTCTGGCTGACCTTTTTGTTAAATGAAATATTCCCTTGTAATCTGAACCTAAAGCTACTAGTTGAGCTGTTGTCCTGTATTGGTTGACTTGCTTTTTTCCTCTTTTTCTAAAATAGTAATGCAAAAAGCCTGGAGAGAGAGAAACCCTCAAGCTAGGATTTCTGCAGCTCATGAAGCCTTAGAGATAAATGAGTAAGTGGGGGAAGATCTTGCTTTTAAAAAAGAAATCTTATTCTTTGCTGAATATATTCAGTTGCCATTGATGGGATACTGATATTAAACTATGCATTTGAACTGGAGGATTATTTAAGGGGACATTTATTTATAAAAACTTTTTGTGAAGGTCATTTTAGTCATTTTAGAGAGCAATTCAGTGGTTTGCTCTGACCCTAAAATGCAGTTCTTTACATATGTAAAACATTTTGATGGAAATTTTTATGGATATAGAATGCTCATCTTTGCCTTCACATTTTCAAGACAGAACTTCTTCTAATAGGAGAAACATAGTAAAATCCTAAGGTAAAAATATTTATACTTTAAAAATATTTCAAGATCAAGGCAAAGATAAGAGGAAATGCTGCGCTTAGTGTTGTTAAACATTCTATGGGTTACCAAGGAAGATTGGGAAATCTGGCCATTTCAGAAAATGAGAAAGATTCTTAAAGTTGGAGTCATAAAAGCTCAGGGTTGGCAGAGACCTTAAAGGTCATTTAGCTCAGCCACCCATCTTGTACTTGAATCACCTCAACACTCTCCCTGCCAAGTGGTCATTCTTAAACTATTTTATGATTTTTTTTCTGAAGAAGGTTACAGAATCTTCTTCAGTGGTCTCAGAAAAAATATTCATTTGAGAGTTGAAAATCCTGCCATTATAACCTATTAATCTATTTGGTTTCTGATTCTGTCGTGCAACATATTTCTTTTCTAATTACTTGTCATCTGCAAAATTGATGTGCCTGTCTTCTATGTGTCATCCATGTTTCTGATAAAAATATCAGGGTCAGAGATAGATCCCTGTGACATGACATATAGAAACCACCCTCAAGTTTTATGTCCTTTGGTGTTGTTCAATTAATTACTAAGCCACCAGTTACACTATGATTCAGCCCACATTTCTCCATTTTGATCTTAAGTTTTAGCTATAATTCTTTAATGGGTAGTAAATCTATTAGAGTAAACTAAGCTAGCACAAACTGATTTGTTTAGTCTTAGTGTTAAGCTAGCTCTGGTGTTCACTTTCTTTTTAAAATGCTTAGAGACTATCCCTTTAATAATCCTTTAGAATATCTTTCCAAATCACTGTTCTGTAGTTTGGGAAGTCTGCCTCTTCCCCTTTTTGAACATTTGTATTACATTTGTCATCTCATCTTCTAGTATCTCTCCATTCTTTGGGAGTCCTTAACTGCCCACAGAGTGCAGTTTCTTGACCTGCTTGTTTTTTGGCTTCCTGGGAGTTGCCCATCCCAGTATAGTAGTTCATTTAGGATAGACCAGTTATTTGCTATCTTACGTCTTTTTACCCATTTTAGAGTTAATTTCTTCTCCCTTTTTCAGTCTGACAATCATTCTCCTTGATGGAGAAGCCAGGAACAAAGTAGGAATTAGAAAGTTTTACTTTCTCTTTATTTGCTACTACTAACTATAAACTTTCCTTGTTTTAATGTTGTTGTTATATTATTGTCTTTTTTGTTGATTTTTGTGATAATTTTGAGGACATGGGGGTGGTGATAGAGCCTTATACATAATTTAAAAACAGGGAATAAATTGTTATCTTTAGTGTTTTGTTTTGTTTTGTCTTTGTTTTGTAAGCTTAAGCTAATTTGGCATTTTAGCTCTCCTGACATTATTCTTATAAGCCCATTTTACTCTTTTATAGTCCTTCATTACATGCCCTCTTTCCATCTTTTTTTACATGTCCTTTAAAATCTGACCTGGTGAGAGATCTCTGTGGAGCCATATTGGTTACTTAATTGTCACCCTTCTTTTCTTCCCCAGAGGATCATAGTGGTTGCAGTTACAGTTGGATATCTGAAAGCTACCCAACCTTCTTAAACCATATTTCCTTCCGAGTCTCATGTCATTGAATCATGCCTTCTTTTCTTTGAATTTTTTGAAGTTCACCTTACCCTCTTTGATTATCCCAAACTCCAAAATGACAAGTAACTCTCTCTGAAAGTTCCTATCAATTTTCATTTCACCAACTATTTTTTTCTTCTTGGTCAGAATTAGGTCCAGAGTTGAAGTTCCCCTAATTGCTTCCTCTACCATCTGGGAGATAAAATTGTTACCAAAGTAAGTCAAGAACCTGTCGGGTTCCCTACTTCTAACCAAATGAGACTTCTAGCAGATATCTGGATGGTCAACAACCCCATCACCACACTTTCTTGCTTCTGTATGTGTATTGTGTTGTGACAAGGATGCGTCATCTCTATCTTTCATCGAGCTGAGTAGTCTGTTCTGTACTCCCCAACCATTAGCACTTCTATTACTCTTTCCTTTCTCCTTTACTCACATGCTTCTACCCCAGACTCATGAATTTCCACATAGATTTATATTTTCTTGTCCAGTAGTGCTACTCTGCCTCTCCTCCCCTCCTAAGATACTATTTGAAATATAAATGACCAAGCAAACAAACTAGCCCCAACCTGTCTTGAGTTTCCAGCCCACCAACCATAATCTTATAGCTAATTTCTCAGATGCTGATCTACCACTCAGTATTATAATCTCAATTTTCACTTCATTACCCTTGACCTATATTTATATGTCAGTATCTGAAGCCTTAAGTATTGCTTCCTGATGCCTGTCCCAGGTATTTTCTCTAGTGAATTACTGGGCAGTTTCAGCATCATTATTGTTCTTTTCAAGTCATATCTACTGCCCTCCATAGTAATTGGTTTACAGCTTTTTTTCTGGACATTTTTCTCCCTACATTTTTCTCCCTGCTTCATCACATTCAGTTTAAGCTCCATTGATCAGTCCTGCCTGAAACTGAATGGACTGGCTAAAGAACTTACAAGACCCCTCCTCAAAGTGAAGAGTAACTAGTAACCTCAAACCTCACATTAGCCATGGTTCAACTTCCTTCTCCTAGCTGGCTGCTGCAGTTTATGAATAGTAAAAGTAACACTGGTTTTACTTTCAGTTTATTTTCTCTCTTGTGGTCTGATGGAGGTTCCATTAAGAAGGGAAATGACCACAAGAGAGACAGTGGAGAAGAAGGACACGAAAGGGATCTGTGCAGACGAGGACATGTGTTGTCTGCTCTGGCCTCAGCCTTTCTCTGTTACATTCCCTTTCTTTGGAAGTTGGGTTGTTCTTACATGACTTGGAAGGTTTCAGTTTCCAAGTGGTTCCCTTGTTCATTAGTTAACTGCTTATCCTTTCTGGCTTCCTACCTTATGGGGTCATTGAAAGGATTAAATGACACAATGTATGTTAAGGGCCTGGGATAGTGCTTAATACATACTAAGCAACAAGTGGTAGCTATTATTGTTAAAGGCATTAATGAGATTGAACTCTTATTTGCTACTGAGGCTGAATCAGATTTTAAGTTGTTTAGAAACAACACTGCTTGCAGGTTCTACAGTTCTGTGACATAGAAAATCAGTGCTAACTGTAATGAGATGTTGAAGCGCTGTTTTCTTCAGTGAGTAACTAACTTGATTGCTGGACCAGTTTGAGAATAGAGACTCTATGTTTAGTAAACTGAAGTAAGCTTATATGTTACCTCTAATTTTGAGTGTTGGAAGGAGATGTTTAAATAGCTATTATCATCACCATCGATAGTCGTCATTTATTGGCTTGTACCACATGCTAGCTACTGTACTTGAGCATTTACATGCATCACCTTACTTAACCTGTACAACGACACTATGAATAAATAGATTCCATGTTGTTCTCCATAAGGGAGGCAGAGTAATAACAACTTTCCCAAAGTGACACACTAATAAGGGGGCAGAATCCACATGAGAGCCCCATCTTCCTCACACTTTGCATCCCACCTCTCAAGCTAAAATACAGACATTTCTTTTGTACCATTACTTTGTGTCAACAACTACAAGCAGGTGCATGAGCCAGTTGGCCACTCTGCATGTTTCGATGTTAACTGCTTGCCCTCTGCATGCACTCCTACAGCCATTACATGTCCTTGAATTTGTAATTGACGGTGACTATTATCTGAATGGACAGGTGTGCAACTGCTTATATTCTCTTGGCTGAAGAGGAAGCAACAACCATTGCTGAAGCAGAAAAGCTGTTTAAACAGGCCCTGAAGGCTGGAGATGGCTGTTACCGTCGTTCTCAGCAGCTACAGCATCATGGATCTCAGTATGAAGCCCAACATAGTAAGGTTTCCTCCAGGTTGAGGTGTTGGGGATCAGAAGTGTAACATGATTAATCAGAGCAAAATTTTAAGCCAGTTCAAAATATGATTCTCCTAGATGGGAATAAAACCTGTTTTTGCCTTTGTTTGTTTTTATTTTTTCCTTCTCATGAGAACACAATACATAATTAGTTTATAGCTTCGTTACTGTTCAAATTAATATTCAGATTCTCTTTTCTTCCCATAGATTTCTAATTCCAAAAATAAATGATAATAACCATTGGTGGTAACCTTATTCTCCCCAAAATTCTTTCATATTTCTGTTTATCAGTTGCTTCTCGGCCCCATAATTTCAAGTACTACCTGGGAAACAAGACTTAAATTAGAGTTGATGTTATCTAAGGTTTTATTTTATGGGCCTTCTACAGCATGAGTTGAAATAGGGCTATTAGGAAGATAACAGTTATTTGTGATTGTCAGCTCTTATTTAGAAAGTATTGGTGTTGAATTCCAGAGAGAAAGAGCCATGAGTTCCTAATTTATCTCTTTTACATTAAAAATGATGACTTCTTTTATTTAAGATAACTTTAAAACAACATCTTTAACTTCAGTAGAGTAAACTGAGAGTCAGTGATATTTTTGGGTAATGGTATAAAAACAAGACAACAAAATCATTTTCTGGAATTCCTCTAGCCCCCTGACTTGTCAGTTTGTTAGTGTTCAACAGAAATTTAGCAATCCTTATGAAAGGGAGTATTTTTATCATCCAACCTAACTTTGGGTTGTTTCCTTAAGGTAGAATTTCTCTCACCTCATTTCTCCCTCCTGCCACTTGGAGAGTAAGAGGAGATCTCCTTCATATTTAAGATTATAAAAGTAAATTTTAGTATTAAACTTGGATTTGGTGCAGAACCTGAATGTGTTACTCCCTATGACTAAGGTGCAGCAAAATCTTTTCATGTCCTATGTATACATGAATAGGTCCATACAACATATTAATGAACAAATTTTATTTTTACTTTGCAGTAAACATATGTTAATCAAGTCTAATCACCATCTGTATCTTGCTTTAAAAATATGTATAACGATATATTCCGACATACTAGTAGAAGTCTATTTTGTGAACTAAATGAAGATTAATATATAAAATTGTATAGCCTACGGTATAACTTAAGAAATTTTCTTTTCTTCTGTAAATTAAATCTTTTCAACCTCATGCCTAAAGATATCCAAAAAAATATAATCATATTTTTAAAATAATTTGTAGGTATTTGGCAGATTTTCAACATGCATCTTGTTCTTGTTGTTTAAAACTTGAAATGTTAGAACTTTAGTCTTAACATCTTTTAATAGCTACATATTATACATATACTTAATCTATAACAGGTGTGTCATACTTTTCTCAAACATGGTAATTTTATTGAGGATTAAGCACATGCATGTTCTCATCGGTCTGGAAACATACCCAAAAGACATAATTAAATAGTAGATTAAGGTAAGAAATTGTTAATGTACTTTTTAAGAGCCATTTTGGTGACTATTATTATACCTATTTAGCTTGTCAGTGCTTTTTCTAACACTAGGGTAGTTTTCCATTTTGTTGCATACTCTATTGTGATATCTGGAATGTGTTACATTGCCATCTAAAATCAACTGCTTTTGGGGCCTGGAGATGATTATGATGTCACAAGTGTTTGGTAAAGAATAATATAAAACAGAAGGTCAAGATGAGGCTTCTCTAGGCATAATGTCAAGAAGGAAAAAAAAAATAGTTCATTAGGATGCAACCTGAGATTCACCTCTTGCATCTTCACCAAAAGCATGCACACTTGAAGAATGTTGAATTCTTGCTTGTAAACCACATACAATTTGGGTATGTTCATTTTCCTGGTACTTTGTGGCAGATGATTTTATTTACCAAATATTCAACATACTAACTGAAAAGCATGGATTAGAGAATCAGTCACATCATTTGAGCTTTGGAAGTCTAAGTACTTTGACTTTACTCTGCATTCATGCTATTAGCAAAGTTGTCAGTGCTCCCGGAAGTAGAGTAGAACAGAGGAGCAGTCTGTTTTTTCTGGGGTTTTACATTAAGGGCATGGCAAATGGGTCTCTATATTTTTTCTTGCTGATCAGCTGAAAGCTGTTGGTTTTCTTTCTTTCTTTTTTTTTTAATTTTGATGTTCTGTATCTTCCTTTTCAGGACGAGACACCAATGTCTTGGTCTACATCAAAAGAAGGCTAGCAATGTGTGCCAGGAGACTCGGGAGGACCAGGGAAGCAGTGAAAATGATGAGAGATGTGAGTTTGAATTTATGTTTGGGAACAGTAGCAATGAACCTGACTTAGAGAAGGAGGACCAGGGATGCTGTGATGGTACCATGAATATTGGATCTGCACTATTTGGGGTATAGCTCTAGCTCCCAAAGTACTAGATGAATGATCTTGGGCAAGTTACTGAACTTATTTTTGCCCTGTTTCCTCATCTGTAAAATAAGGATAACAATTATAATAATTACTACTTGGAATTGTTGCAAAGCTTAAGTGAGATAATACATGCAAAATTTTAATAGAGTGACTGGCATATTAAAGAAATATTAATAGATATTCCTACTCAACTTTTGAGTCTGTAGCTAGAAGCTAAGAATAAGATCAGCCATTTTAGCTGACTTTTTTGTGTACTTGTTAGTAAGATTTGAATAAACTCTGGGTCAATTTGCTACCTCAAATGGAATAATATTGCCCTGGCCAATGTGGCTCAGTTGATTGGAGCATCATCCCATATACCAAAAGTTTGGAGGTTTAATTCGCCATCAGGGCACCTACCTAGGTTGTGGGTTCAGTTCCCTTGTCAGGGTGTATAAGGGAGTCAACCAATTGATGTTTTTCTTTCTCGCTCCCCCTTTCTCTATCTTTAAAAATAAATATTTTAAAATTATTTTAAAAATAAATAATGTGAGCTGATTTTATTGTAGTCATATCAGGCATTTTCCTATGTTCTTGAATCAGGATACTTTATTAGTAGTAGACAGTATAAGAGGAAAAGAGTTTTAAAATGCAAGAGAACAAGGGAGGTAAAAATTAAAACAGTGGTTTTAAGGGAAACCAGTTGAGGAACTTTTACTTCCACACTTTTTTTAAATAAGAAATTCTTTTTCTGAAGGTACTGAAACCAGTATGAATTGTATTTATAACCTATTTTCTTTTTAAAAACCATCTCAGAAAACCTTGGTCAGCAATTCATTCTTCTGCTGTCTTCCTGGATTAGGAAACTAGGTATACCTGTTCATTGTAAAAATGGAAGAACCAAGGGACAAGATAAAAGTGGCATCTTGTCCAATTCTCAGCTTTTGGATTTGAGAACAGGACTGTGTAGACTTAGTCTTCTCAATTTGTCTCTGGAAGGTCAGTGATTCATGAGAATTCCCAGTCACTCTGGGCATGGCCTGCACTGTAGACCCACTTCTGGTTATTTCTGCAAGTGTAGCATCGTGTAAAGGCTGGAGTGAAACACAGGCTTCCATTTTGGCTGCTCCATATACAACAACAGTATTGTCTTCAGACCCGAGGATAGGAACAAAAAGAAGAAGATTCTGAAGTAATTTTATTTGACCGAAGGTGATAGATGCACTGCAAAGGGGATCTCTCAGGATTAAATTCTTCTGGTTGATAGAAGAATTTAATGTTTGTTATGAAATATGAGCTAATTTTAAGAAAAGGAAATTTCTGCAGAAACATGGCCTTGTCCTCAAGCTTTTTAACTTGCAGAAGTTTCATCCCTTGACATAGCAAAGAAACTCTTCCAGTTTCTTTGGCTCCAAAAGAGCTGAGAATTTTATGAAGTTCAGGGTATTTCTCTATCCTAGTTTGGCAGAGCTGCATTCAGCCTTTAACTGGTGTTTTGTATTTATTGTCTGTGGGGGCAACTTCTTTTGCGAGGTCCCCCTGGTGCCACGGACACGCGTGAATGAATAAATATGGCCAAGACATTCTGGATCTGTTTGGGGATGGAGGAGTGGGCTGTGGCCAGTTTCTCAGGGGAGACAGAGTCCAGCAGCGGCCAGTTTCTCCAAGGAGAAAAAGGCCCCGAGCCTCTTTCTCCATAGCCTTTTATTGGGTTGTAATACACAGGAATACAAGGCGACAAGGATCAAACAGTAGATAACATTACAAAGAAATCTGAGGGCTTACTATGAGTCAGTGTCTGTCAGGAAGACAGTTACAGAAACTTTGGGAGACATACTCATTTCCTCTTGGACCCTTATCATATGAATGAAAGCACTCTTAGCAGAGCAGATTTCACAGGTTAATCAGCAAGTCTTTGTGATGCCAGATTTTTCCCCAGGACACTCTCTAGCAAGGCAAGGAGCTGCACCTCTCCCCAACAGGTATTCAGGCTTAAGGGGATTAGAGCCAGGAAGCACTTCTCCTAGAGTACATGGGGACTCAGGCTATGACAAAGCTGGGGGACGAGAGCCCATTGCTCTTTGTTGCAGCCCCCCAAGTCCTTCCATGAAGGCTTCCCAGGTGATGGAGTCTGGCTTAGGTTGCCCCCCGCTGTGAGGGGTCTTACCCATCATTGACTTCTGACCAAGCTCTGGGGGCAGGGAGAGGAACTGAGGCAGTGTTTGCTACCAGAGACAGGCTTTATCTCCTGTGGCTGGCATTCCAAAGGTCATCTCTCACCCTTAGGCACAAGGGGTAGAGATACAATTCCTGAAACTAGGCAGAGCGGTCTACTACAATTGTCTTTTCTTAACCTTAGTTAGTCTGGTACAGGCATGCATGGAGGAGCAAGATTTTGGTGATTTTCTGTATTATATGCTTAGGCAACTTCATGAGAAAAACAAACATGGGTAATTTGTATTCCATTGGTTTTTCTATCAGTTTCATTCTGATTATATCATTTTTAGTATATACATATAAAATGTCACATGATCAAAGCCAATATATCTTTATTATGGTTTGATTTTTATTCAGTATTATTTTATACTTACAATTCCATTTATTGACCTAATCCAAATACATATCTTAGGGGAAAGCCTGGGTTGCAGTAGAATAAATGCTGGGCAGGGAGTCAGAAAACCTGGATGTGAATCTTAGCTCTACCGTTCACTAGCTTTGTTACCCAGCGCAACTTATTTCCTTCTTATGGGCTTTTCATTTGCCTTAAGTTAATTGGGCATAATGATTCTCATCTAAAAGCACACTGAAGGAGTAGTGGGAAGAATGAAATGCTATTATGTGAAAACAACTGGCACATAGTAGATATGCTTACAATTTTTCCCCTATTTTTTCTCCATTATATTAGTATACCTTAATTTTTGGATACTTCTGATTTCTTTTTCTTGAATGAATCAGTCAGTCAGTCAAGTCATCTGTCTCTTTTTTCTCTACATATACATATGAACATATTTATGTATGTGTGTATCTGTATTTATATGTGTTTTTCCTTGGCTTACTTTCCTTAAATAGTCTGTTATATCATTAGAATATCAGTACATGTGGCCTTTGACTGGGTTTGTAGAGCATCCATTAGATGTGGGTCCTACTGTTACAACAGTCCTGTGAAAGACACTGTCAACATCCTGGAGATGTGTTTTGAAGAGAAATATTCCAAGTGCCTTTTCCTTCAGAAACTCCTGGCACGTAAATGGAGGAGAGGAGTTTAAGGATCTCTCTCTGTTAAAACTGCAGCTGGTCCCAGCCTTGAAGGAGACAGTTGTTGGTTGGGTCTGATTCTTCTCAGGTCAGAGTTCATGTATAAACAGGGACTACACTGCGGGGTTCACTCCTTTAACTACATGCACATAAACCATCTTGCTGGGAGGCTTCCTCTGATAAAACAGCACTGTGCATTCCAGGCAGCATGCTTGATAAAGCCTTCAGGCAGGAGGATCTATGGTAATTTTTCATTAAGATATAGCCATCCTCTTTCCACATGCATTGGTTGAACTTTCCTAGAGCAGATTTGTAAAGTGGAAATAGAAATGCTTGAGTCAGAACTCCTTCCATCAAGAGAGCAGACTCTCTAAAAAAATTTCTTGGGAACCCCTTAAGGAAGGGAGAACTCAATTGGTTAGGTATCTGGAAAGAGAATGGAAGAAAATTCCAGGAAGTACAGCTATAGATGATTATAGGTCTAATAAAATGTTCATCCTATAAATGAAATATTGATGAGGTAAGAACACATAGGTTCCTTAATGTCAGGATTCATGGCTTCTCATTTTTTAAAATAACACATGAATTATTTTGAATTCCCAGTATGTTTTCCCCAAAAACTCACTTTGATTAGCTTACTTTTGCAATTAAGGAAATGGAATCACCTTACTGAAGGAATGTTTTGGCAGTGAGTAGGTCTAAGAGAGCATGCTGGCTGTTGAACTTCACTGTAAGGTGTTATTATTTAAAATGAAAAAGGTTGCATTTTCTGCTTTCTAAAAATTTTTTTAAATATATTTTATTGATTATGCCATTACAGTTATATTCCCCCCTTCATTCCCTCCACTCTGCACACCCCTCCCCCACCATACCCCTCTTTAGTTTATGACCACATGTCTCAAGTTCTTTAGATTCTGTATTTCCCCTACTATTCATGCCCTCCCCCCTATCTATTTTCTATGCTACTTATTTTCTGTACCTTCTCCCCTCATCTCCTTCTCCCACTCCCCTGTTGCTAACCCTCCATGTGATCTCCATTTCTATGGTTCTGCTCCTGATCTAGCTGTCCTCTTAGTTTGCTTTTGTTTTAGGTGTGGTTCTTAATAACCGTGAGTTTACTGTCCTTTCACTGTTCATCTTTTTTATCTTCTTTTTCTTAGATAAGTCCCTTTAACATTTCATATAATAAGGGCTTGGTGATGATGAACTCCTTGAATTTGATCTTATCTGAGAAGCACTTTATCTGCCCTTCCATTCTAAATGAAAGCTTTGCTGGATAGAGCAATCTTGGATGTAGGTCTTTGGATTTCATGACTTGGAATACTTCTTTCCAAGGAATACTTCTTTCTTTGCCTTTAAGGTCTCTTTTGAGAAATCAGCTGACAGTCTGATGGGGACTCCTTTGTAGGTGACTGTCCCCTTATCTCTTGCTGCTTCTAGGATTCTCTCCTTCATTTTAATCGTGGCTAATGTAATGATGATGTGCCTTGGTGTGTTCCTTTTTGGGTCCAACTTCTTTTGGACTCTCTGAGCTTCCTGGATTTCCTAGAAGTCTATTTCCTTTGCCCAATTGGGGAAGTTCTTCTTTATTATTTGTTCAAGTAAGTTTTCCACTCATGGCTGTTCCTCTTCCCCTTCTG